TATATTTAAAAGTACTGCAGCCAGTTTTGTTTGAAAGACTAAATTGATGTTGATATCTTAACATGTTTGGGAAGGTGGAAGAGGCATACCTGATAGTATTAAAATGGAAGAATAAGAAACTAGAAGTCACAGCTCTGTAAAAGTTTGTCTTTTCTCTCCACATGCTATACATCATCATTCCAAACTCAACACTGTTCAGAGTAACTCTATTATTATAGTTTTAAAATGGTCGCCCTCACTAGTTTAGACTCCTAGCTAATAGCAGATGAATTTAAGATGAAGTATAACTTACATTTTGTTCACTCAGTCTGCATATGAGATAAGCTTTTTCAACATTTACAGTTGTGTGATCATAATGACACAAATTGCCCAAATTATTTTCAGATCAGGTAGCTGCTATTAGTTCACATAGCTGCTATTTCACATGAAATTTTCAGCAGACTCTCTCAACAACTGTTCCCCAAAAGCTGTAATTGCCCCACTATCTGGCAAGTGATAAATACAAACATTATGGCATGGAGACATTTCAATCATGACTCCTCTTCCACTTCTTTATAATTTCCTCTGTCATTTTATTTCCTTGATATGAACTGATTCTATAAAACATACCTGAAAACATACCAGGCAAATATTGTATTCAAAAATTATGCTGGGAGTTTAAGTATTGCAGGTTTAGGCCCCAGTCCACTACTCGTAGGCATAAAGTGATTAATGCATAAATGTTTGCAAGATCAGGGCCATAGACTGATCTTAAAGTTGCCCACTAACTGTAGCTGTAGCCACAATACTCACTGTAACCATTATGTTTACAATCTCTTTCTTGGCAGCACCATCACTGCTGGCAGGACTTCTGGAAATGATGTTAAAGCAGTAAAGAACCAACATTTCTAACCCTGTAATACAATGGTATCAAAAGATGCTAGTAAATCAAATATATTGCATTTCTCAAGGGGTTTGTTACAAAATGACAGCAGAGAATATAGGAATTCCCACAGTCCCTCAAACAAAAAGTGCTCTATGTAGTTAGATATCCTGTGTCTGATAATAGCCACAGTCAGATGCTTCAAGTGAATGCAAAAAAGCCAAATATACCTCCATAGTACACATATGTATGCAATGTGGAAGACAATTTCTTACCAATCTCAGCTATTGATCACCTTGTGCCATGACACATGTTGATTGATACCCATGGTAATTTTCTCTTAACTTATGTAAGGGAAAATGCTAGTCTTTGTACCATAAAGGAAACCTTTCAATTAGGAAAAAGTGCAGGTATTAATTTACTTACTGTAGGTCAATGGATGCCTGCCTCAGATTGAATTTTTCCATAGATACTTGGAACATCTCTAGTGGTAAGATGGTGATAAACATTTGATAGTGATAAAAGTAATAACATTTGGACTTTTAATACTTTTGGTCACTTTTTGTACCATCTTATGATGGATGTGGTCCACTGACAACTCTAGGACCACATAAAGTCAGCCATTTTTGACCTGGTGCTTTAACAGACTGGACATATTATTAGGAGACTATTCTAATGCTGCTCTCTGTAGCTGCTCATAAATTTTTCAAAACAATTTTTTCCTTGATTTCCCTCAGTCCAAAAGTGAATTTTTGTTTAAGTTTGAGCCAAATTAGTTCAACCATTTTTGATGTATTCAAGCATGGACAAAATAGATTTTTCCCCTTTGTGTTCACATTACACAGTTTGCATTTAGATAATTTGAAAACAAATAAAAACATTGACATTTCTTGTACTGTATAGCTTTCAGATCAAAAGCCATGGTTGAAAAAAAAATCAGTTCTGCAGTCATGAGTATTTAAAGTAAAATTGTGAGCATTTACAGCATTTTTTATCTTCTAGTTTATTTTCTTTTTCCTTTTTTTCTTTGGTTTTTTTTGTATTTTATTTTTTCCTTGACACAATTCAGGCCACATTTGTCAGTTTTAAGCATCCATCACTTTAATAACCATTGAATGGATTTTCTTTGAGTTTGTTTAGTGCGACCAGATGCCCGATATTATGGACTTTTGTCTTATATGGCAACTACTACTCCCCCTCTCCCCTCCTGATTTTTCATGCTTGCTATCTGGTCACCCTAGTCACTGTGGGATCAAACCAAGTCAAGTCTGAAGAACGCTGATTCAGTAAGTGTAAAATGATGAACACTGGAAGTCAGCAAGACTGTCCTGAACTGCAGGGAAGGAGTTCCAAGTGTAATGGGAGTGACATGAAAGAAGGTATGATGAGGAGATGGGAGAAGGAGATAAGAAGAGGCACTCAGACATGAGGGCCGGTAGTTCGGGAAGTAGAGAAAAAATAAAACCTGAAGTGTAGAGGCAAAGGCAGAGTTATGCAGAACCCTGAAGGGTGAGAAGTCTGAATTTGACATGGAAGATGAAGGGAAGCCAGTGAAGGCTAAACAGGGATGAAAGCATCACTCTGAGCAGGAAGATTATTTTAGTGCCAGCATTTTGAACTGACTGGCCTCATGTAAGGAGACAAGCAGGAGGAAAAGTTGTCAAAGTCAGAAACAGAAGGAGATGAAAGAAGAGATTTTAGAGATGATGTAAGGAAGAACTGACAGTAACTGGTAGCAGTTACCCCTGGATTTGAGGGAAGGAATTGGGCAGGTAGAAGGTGGCAAGGGAAAGAGGAATCAAAACCAACTCTAAGGTTTCGAGTCTGTGTTGGGAGGATAATGGAGTTTTGAATGGAGAAAGCAGGGAGAGGACACCGTTTAGAGGGAAAAGATGAGTAATAAAGATCAGTGGCAAAGAACAGCAATAAAAAATGCAATGCCTCCTGAGTTGAGATTATAAAAATACTTTTCCATTTTGGTTAATGTTTTGGGGAAATTATTATTATTTTTTAATTAAGTGAATTTAGTGCTGGGGAAAGGTACCAGACTGATTTGAAAGCACTGGAGACAAATTATAAAATTGTATCAGGTTGTTGTTAGGTAATATGTAGCACATTATTTGTTTTGTTGTGTAAATGACTTGAGATGTGGTTTGTCCAGTACTTGTAGGCAATTACCCTTGTAAATGGGAAATGCAAATGGCTAGCGTTTCATTTTCTCGTTATGGAGAAATAGAAAATCCTTGGGCAGCCTTGCTGAGTTTATATTGATATTCAATTTAAATGAACCCAAAATCAATAGTTAATTTGTAGCTATAAACTGAAAAAGTTATGAAATTTCTAAAACCCATATTATGAATATTTTTTACTTGCTGCATACATCTTAACAAAGATGGTGTCCCTGCAAATACAACAACAGCAATAGTGTACCACCACTTTTAGCAGGGCTGAACTAATGCCCTGTTTTGAGCATATTCTCAACAATATACACAGTAGACATGATTCTCCACTACCTTGCACCTTGTGTAGCCATTTACAACTGGCCAGAGTGAGTGTACATACAGGGCTGGCTCCAGCATTTTTGCCGCCCCAAGCGGCGAAGGAAAAAATAAAAAGATTGAGCTGCCATCCAAGTGCCGCCGAAGAGGACGAGAGGGAGTGAAGGACCCACCAGCGAATTGCCGCTAAATTCCCGGACGTGCTGCCCCAACAACAGATGGACTGACACCCCTTTCTATTGGCCGCCCCAGGCACCTGCTTCCTTCACTGGTGCCTGGAGCTGGTCCGGTTTACATATCAGAATGGCAGTATTTTACGCTTCCTTGGCACAGTTGTAAATGACTGCCCAGTAGAGAATCGGGTCCTGAGAGTCAAATTCATACCTGACGCAACTCCACTAACATCAGGCATTCATTTTCCTATTGCACCAATGTTTGGCATTTATGTCACATGGGGTTCCCAAGAGTGATACTGTGGCTCATGCGAATACTGTTTTCAGATTAGGTGGGCCTCAATTCCACCTGCTCAATCCTAATTTATGTAACACCTTAATCAGTGAGGGTGTTACTTAAATTGCATACTATTCTGGAGAATGGGGAAAAGGGCAGGGGGATTGAGGGGAAATGAGTTTGTATCTCTGTCCTTCCCAACATTTCGATGGCCTGTGCTGTGTAGTAGGTCAAAACAGATGATCTAATAGTTCTTTCTGGATTTAAAATCTATGAAAAAAATGTCTCAGTTTCAATCTAGATTGCTTTTGGGGAAAATGACATACCTCCTAAAGGTATTAGTTTGTTTACATCTTTTGGAACTAGTTGATTGTCACTGACTAAGTGTGGGATGACCCTTCTATACAGTGAGCCACTAATTCCTTGCATTCCTACTATCTCATCTCAAATACAATCTGCCTGAACTATAACATACATAAGGTCTAGTTCAGGGGCCTACGATGCCAGATCATAGCTGCACCATCATCCTGTTAATGTCAAGGAAATTCTATAAAGACGTGATACATTAAATGATTTTTCCAACTCCCTGTGCCACTATAAAAGCCCAGAAATTTGTTTCTTTGTTCTTTTTAATTGTTGTATGTGTTTCTTCTGCTCCACTTATAAAGATTCATGGTGTCAACAGAAATGTGGATAACCTCTGATGTCCTTCAAAAGATCTGTCCTAAAGTTATACATTGCCATTTTACAGAGAATAGCTCAAATCTGGTTTGAGCAACAACTACTCATTGCCAAGATCCTGAACTGCAGCTACAAAGCATTTTGTGCAACTTAGGAATGTGTGACATCAGCCTTATTTCAAGCTGTCTTGGTGTTCCCCGCTCCTCGGTCAATGTGTGCCTTTTGGTTGCTTTAACTAGCACCAGTTGACAGTGTTTTAGGGGGCAGTTGCAGCAGCCAAGCACCACAGGAGCATAGGGATAAACTGACCACATCCCTTGGCCTCTGGGAGAGAAGGGGTTTTGTCAGAACTACCACATTGGCTCTGTGCTGGGAGGGATTGTCTTGTGGCTGGTTACACTGGCTTTTAGCTTTGCACTGGAGGGGTGGGTATGAACAGCTCACAAAGCAACCCAGGTTACGTCCCTTCAGGTTTAATAAAAATTTGTTATAATGTAAGCGACACATACTTGACAAAAGCTCCTTTTCAGACATCCCAATTGCTACTTCTGTCCAGGTGTCTCCATCATCCTGATCTTCAGCTAGCCAGCAGTCTACAGCCAGACAAATCTCCTGGTCAGAGGTAGGGGCCATTCTTTCAAGTCTCACCTCCTCTAGGTACCAGCTAGGGTCATTTCCACTGTTGTCATGACCAATGCGGATTTTATAAAGTTGCCCAATACCTTTGAGATTAATCTGTAACAGCAAAAACGGGAGAGTCTGTTATAACATTGCCTTGTATTAGTTCATCTTGTACCGATAACTGTGCTTATAAATTGAGTACACAATTAATGTGTGGCCGTGGGTTTGTGCCTCTTGGAAAATGAGGTCTTACCCCATACTGAATGAGACTGTGAGAGTGGTAACACATGTCAAGCAGTATCTGTCACAATCAGGGTCCAGACACCCCAAGGGGAGAACAGGGGGTCTGAACCCCAAAGAGTAAGAAAGACCCTGATTGTCACGGTACCTAATTGCACAAGTAAGTTAACTGACTGCAGTGGTGTATGGTATTTTCAGAATGAATAAGGGGATCGGACAATCTGGTCTATTTTTTTGGGTCTCCAGAGGCCATCTCTTTTTGTGGCTGAGGATTCAAAGTTTCTTTTTCAAAATAAAACTATATAAATATTTAAATAAAAAGGCATTTTCCTATCACTGCTGCATCAGAAGGTACATTTTGCAAGGCACTTTGTCGGCAGGGCACTTTTAACTATTTCTACAACTCATCAGTCTTCAGTGGACCCTTTTATCTTAATCTTTTATTTGTATGTGCTTTGGTGTCAGGGGTTAGCTGTTTCTGCTGTGCTGATACCCACAATGTAGTGAATTTAAACAGTAAAACACAACCATTATGCCTCACAGAATATTGCAATATTGAAATAAGAGCCACTTTGTCTGGGGCTGCAGGAGAAGTTTGCTGAGCAATGCAGAAGGCAGCAACCTAAACATAAAAAGCAGGGTTAAGCACTTTAGTGTCTCTTATCTTCTGTGATGGCTGTGACAGCTGTTGATATGGAGAAAAATCACAGAGAACTGTCTGACAGAAAAATACCTGGTTTTCTTTCCCCGTCATACCAAACTGATAGCGTTCAGAATAAAGGCTGGTTAGGGCAAACCAGTTAAGATAAACATAATCCTATTAGTCAGAATCACTAAAAATGATGAGGGCTACGTTTTATCTTAAAGGCGCAGCCAGCGCAACAGAGGACTGTGTAATGGTCCACTACCCCAGCGCTCCTAGAAGCATTATTCATCAGGCAGACATAATGCCCTCCAGGAGTATAATGGGATGGTTGCCACTTCACTATCTCTTCACAGGATGCAGGTTGTGCTTCCTTCCTACATGGGGCCAGCTCTGCGGATGTGGGCAGAGTAGGGTCATGTCCCTTTCACTGTCCCTCTTGAGAGCTTTGAATTGTCAGTGACACTAGGCTGGCATACCCTAGTGCTTCCTGGGCACAAGGACTACAGTTGGGCCTGGACACAGCTCAGGGGCTCAAGGATGGGGGGAAAGATTCCTGAATCCTCTTCCACCTCTCTTGTATTACAGAGTCAAGCCAGGCACAATTAAAGTCATGTATGGCTTCTATGACATTCTGACATGTGCGGCGATGGCATTATGTATGACACTAAATCTATACATATGGCTGAAGTTAGCAGTGTGCCCACATTAGCATCATATGTTTTACCTGCAGCAGTGAGCTATGGCATTTGAAAGTGGGTGGCCAAAACTGACACAGATATGGGATATGGTGCTGATACTGAGAGCCAGTGGATGGCAGCAGGCAAATCACACAATCTGACACGAAGGAAGTGCAGGGTATAAAGTGAGCTGGGTCTAACAAGGTTGCAAACCTTTAATCCAGCCTCTAAAATGCAGACTCCTAAGGTGAGGGAGTATTATAAACATATTTAACAAAGTGTCTGAGTTCTGACATTTTGTTGTGAAGTATGTAAATTGCATTGTTAGTCAGGGACAGACCTAGCACTTTTTGGAGACCATTTTAAGTCCTGGGAAATGCCTGTTACCTGTGGTGCAGTATTACTAGAGGGAATAAAACAGGTTCAATTCTACAGCTCCGGTACCAGACTCGAACTCTGGCTCATCTGCTGCATCAAACTCTGAGGCAGGTGTGAGCTCCATCTCTAAACATGATACTCCCATGACTCTCATTCTCCTCACTGGAGATGCCTTTGGAGTTGGAGTCACTGATACCAAACCACTAAAAAGCCCATTACTGATATGCTTTTCAAACAACTGAAGCAGTGAACTGACTGTGAACCAATTGGAACTGTTATTGAGAAAGAATGCAATAACTATTATTGCTACCTTTGTGTAGGGCCCCAGAAGAACAAAGCCATGCCTTTGTTACTGATATTTAACTTTATCTATAGTGTTATTCATATCCCAGAATCAATGTTAAATTGAGAGTTTTGTTCAAAGGCAAGGTTAGCGTGGGAGACAGAGTTCCGAACTGGACCACTGTGGAAAGCTGTATATTGTGATTCCATTTGGGCAGACCAATAGCACAGTGGGGTAGGGAAGACTGGGGAGAACGGGTGGGGGCAGCTTGGAAAGCTGACCAAGGGAAAGAAAAATGGCCAATGTGAAAGAGAGACTAGTAAGGGAGCAGGGAAATGATGGGGCCTTCATCTTGATGGGGGGACTGGACTCTTCCCCATTACTGAACAGTCAGACAGACAAGATGAAAAGGTGGTTCAAGGCAAATGAAGGCTGGGAAGAGCTCTGTGCAGAAAGGAGAGCTCAGGGCTGTCAAAAGCATGAGGTGAAGATCCTGGAAGTGACTGTTTCAGTCTGATTCCACTAAAGCTCTATTTAGCTTCTCAGATGAATGTTTCTGCTCATATGTGCTGGAAATAGGGGTGCTCGGGATGCTACTGCACCCCCTGGCTTGAAGTGATTTCTATCATATACAGGGTTTACAGTTTTGTTCAGTTGCTCTCAGCAATTATAAAAATTGTTCCAGCACCCCTGTTTCTGTGCCTTTGTAGTGCTTGCAGAACTCCCTGACATTCCGAGTACAACATAAGGGGGCACAACTTCACTGAAGTCAAACTGCATCCACGCATGCCAACTGTGAATTTGACCTGTAGAGTTAAAAAGCAAACAAATGGATTTGACTTGACAAAACAGCAGAGAACATCGCTATCCAATCTATTCAGAAAGGACTGGAGGTCCTGGAATTGTTGCATGCAAGACCTAATGAACACACACAGCATGTTTCTAAAATCAAGTTTCTAAAATTGAAAGGTTTGTTAAAGAGTAAAAGTCATGTAAAATACAAAGCAGTGTCACTTTAAAAATGTGATTAATATTCTTTTCACATTCAATGAGTGGATTATTAAAGTGCATTCTTGTGCCAAGAAATTCATGTTCATTTTTTGCTGGAAACTAAGGCAGGAATGCTAATGACAGACAGCAAAGCAGGTATGTATGATGTTCTGAAAGGACATACAAAAACTTTACAAGTTTAGTCCATCTGTTGTTGTAGTTTGGGGTGGGATCAATTTATCTTGCTGTTAGATCAGATCTCACATTGGTCTCACAGCAGTACTGACTTACTAAAATGTTGCTGTTTGCCAACTGGAATGCTGTCAAACGTATGTCAGATTTAGCTCTTGGAGTGCAATGCAGATGAAAATGCTCTCACAATCACACTGTACTGCTAACCATTGTTTTTTTCCATCTTAAGGACTGCATCTTGAAGTTGTTCCTTCATTTCCAAGGTTGACTAAATTATCTTGAACTACCTCACAAATCAAATGCAAACTGGCATTTACAAATCTACTTTCACGCCCAGAACATTTTGTAAATTGTTGTGGAGAAAAGTTGACTTGTTTCCCTAGTAACTAAAATGCTCATAAAAATTCTTCTAGTCTCTTTCTATTATGGTACAATGGCTGCAAAAGTAACAATCAGTTTTATGTGGCGCTTGTCTTTCTGGCATAGCTGCAACAAAGGGTCTCAGGGAGCAGAAAGGATGGATCTTGTGATTAAAGCCCAAGATTTTAAAAATGGGAAGGAGGAGGATCCGGGGAACTACAGCCCAGTCAGCTTCACCTCAGTCCCTAGAAAAATCATGGAGCAGGTCCTCAAGGAATCAATTTTGAAGCACTTTGAGGAGAGAAAAGTGAGCAGAAACAGTCAGCATGGATTCACCAAGGGCAAGTCATGCCTGACTAACCTAATTGCCTTCTATGAAGAGATAACTGGCTCTGTGGATGAGGGGAAAGCAGTGGACATGTTATTCCTTGACTTGAGCAAAAATTTTGATACGGTCTCCCACAGTATTCTTGCCAGCAAGTTAAAGAGGTATGGGCTGGATGAATGGACTATAAGGTGGATAGAAAGCTGGCTTGATCATCGGGCTCAATGGGTAGTGATCAATGGCTCCATGTTTAGTTGGCAGCTGGTATCAAGCGCGTGCCTCAAGGGTCGGTCCTGGGGCCAGTTTTGTTCAATATCTTCATTAATGACCTGGAGGATGGCTTGGATTGCACTCTCAGCAAGTTTGCAGATGCCACTAAACTGGGAGAAGTGGTAGATACACTGGAGGGTAGGGATAGGATACAGAGGGACCTAGACAAATTAGAAGATTGGGCCAAAAGAAATCTGATGATGTTCAACAAGGACAAGTGCAGAGTCTTGCACTTAGGATGGAAAAATCCCATGCACTGCTACAGACTAGGGACCGAGTGGCTAGGCAGCAGTTCTGCAGAAAAGAACCTAGGGGTTACAGTGGATGAGAAGCTGGATATGAGTCAACAGTGTGCCCTTGTTGCCAAGAAGGCTAACGGCATTTTGGGGTGTATAAGTAGGGGCACTGCCAGCAGATCGAGGCACGTGATCGTTCCCCTCTATTCTGGAGTACTGTGTCCAGTTTTGGGCCCCACACTACTAGAAGGATGTGGAAAAATCGGAAAGAGTCCAGCGGAGGGCAACAAAAATGGTTAGGAGTCTGGAGCACATGACTTACGAAGAGAGACTGAGGGAACTGGGGTTATTTAATCTGCAGAAGAGAACAATGAGGGGTGATTTGATAGCTGCTTTCAACTACCTGAAAGGGGGTTCCAAAGAGGAAGGATCTAGACTGTTTTCAGTGGTACCAGATGACAGAACAAAGAGTAACGGTCTCAAGTTGCAGTGGGAAAGGTTTAGGTTGGATATTAGG